CACGCCTCTGTGCTTTGCACATGCTATTCTCTCTACCCAGAATGTTATTCTTGCTTTTGCAGCTGAGAAACTCCCACTCTTCCCACAATACCCAGTACTCAAGAGTCCCTCCCTCTGTGAAGTCCCCTTCTTCATTTCATTTGTGCCACCTCTTCCCTTGTGCACACCTCATCCCTAGTACCCAACAAGCACAGGGTTTGGTACACAGTGGGTGCTTAACAAGTGCTTGTTGCATGAATAAATGAGTGCACGAAAAACTAAGAACAGCTTATACTGAGTTCACCAGTCAAGTCTTATTAGAAGAAAATCTACTGATTTGGGTAGTAGTTTAAAAACTGAGGCCAGAGGGTCAAGAGAAGCTGCTTGGCTCTTCCCCTCAGTCATTCAAGAAACAGTCCCTAGGTAGACACAATCATTGTCCCATATTCCTGAAACAATAAGAAGAGAATAAGTATTTTCAGCTGCAAAAGGAATGAAACTTAATAGCAGCAGATTCTCTGGTAGCAGATTCAAAGGTATAGTAGCTGGAACTCAAACAATGATAATGATTTTCAGCCAATGGAACACCTGAAAAACACAAGAGAACCTACTGGAATGGGCAGTCAAGGGCTTTCCAGGATGAGGATCAGACTTACCTGACAGATTCCTAGGCCCACCTCAAAGATTCTGACGCAATAGGTTTGGGTCGAGGCATCTGTATTTTTCAAAAAGTCCCCCAGAGTTTTTGCAGATTCTAATAGTGAACAGATTTAGAAACCATTGGATGGTTGGTTCTAAGCTATTGACGATGTGATTTGTGGTATAGGACTGAACATTACCAGACAGAGGGGCTAACGTCTGCCTGGTAGATCAGAGATAGTCTTCATAAATAGTAGTTACTAATAAATAACTTGAATTGTCTATTTTATTCCTCCCAACAAACACATAAAGGTAGGGACTGGTATTAAGCTTAGAGAGGTCAAGTAACTTATCCAGCTACTGAGTGACAAGCTAGATTCGAAATCCTGGCAGTTTATTCTAGAGGCTGTGTTCTTAACTACTGTGGCAGCCTGCCTCTTTTCTGAAGTACGTGGGCAGAAAGCAACCCCCTAAATCACAATGTCTTACAAAAGTGGCCAGTACACTTGCAGTGGTTTCAATCTGTATTGGCTACAGAAACTGGTTGTTCTGATACATCTTGGGCCTTCCTGTATCTCTGTTTTGTTCATCTTTGCATACCTAACCTATAATACTTGGTCCAGAATCTATACTCAATAAATATTTGATGAATTTAAAACAACAATTTGATTCCTTGATTGTGATAAATACTATGTGACTTCACTTAATCCAAGCTCTTTGTGCTACACTGCCCATGTGGAGGCTGACTGAAGAGTGTGACTTTGCTATCCAAGGGGAGAACGTGGCCATGGTCAGGGACGTGATCCACGCTTGTTGAACGAGCTTTGCAGGGAAGCGCACACTTTCTGCCTATGTGACTGTGCCTCAGACAAACCTTGAAGGATCTGGGGTCCCGGTGAAGTAGTGAATGCACGGTGAGCTTCTATTCTGAGGCAGGACAGACACCATACTGGCTGTGGTGAGGAAAGATTCAGAGTCTATACAGACTCCACTGTCTTTGTCCCGTAAGATGTTAATCATAGTCTGCACAGTGATGCTTTCTGTTAAAAAAAAAAAAGAGAGAGAGAGAGGCAGGACAGACACCATACTGGCTGTGGTGAGGAAAGATTCAGAGTCTATACAGACTCCACTGGCTTTGTCCCGTAAGATGTTAATCATAGTCTGCACAGTGATGCTTTCTGTTAAAAAAAAAAAAGAGAGAGAGAGTGCGAGATGGAAAGAAGAGATACAACTGTAGCAGGCTAGTAACCAAAATCCACTCACTCTTTTCTCTTTTTAGAAATAAAACCCCTGAAACTATAGCTGGGAACATAACTACCCAACTACAGAATGTATTTCCCAGCTTCCCTGTGACTAGGTGCAGCCACGTGATGAACAACTCTGAGCAGTGGGAGGTGACAGAAATGATAAGCGCCACTGCCTCGTCACACCCACGGAAAGGAACGTTCCCTGTGACTAGGTGCAGCCACGTGATGAACAACTCTGAGCAGTGGGAGGTGACAGAAATAAGCGCCACTGCCTCGTCACACCCACGGAAAGGAACCCTTGCCCTTCACTTCTCTTTTCTCTCTTCCCACTGGCTGCAAGATGCCAACAAGTGGACCACAAATGGAAGTCACGTAACCTGCCAGCCCCAGACCGATCTGGACTATAAAATAGGAGAGAAATAAACTTCATTTTAATCCACGTTAATTTGGGGTCTCTTTGTTAGAGCGCTTAGCTACACCTCCACCAGGGCGGTAACTCTATAGAATGATATCCACGTGCAATCTATGCACAGCCCACCAAGCTCTCTCTCATACACTCTTGCTGGTTGGAGTCAATATTATATTTGGAGAGTAACCTCTCCACAGTGGGAAATATACACACATAGAGGCATTTAGAATGTTCAGAATGATTAGGACTATGGGCTCTGACTTCAGATAAATAGATATACAAATTCTTGCCTACAGGGAATCCCATTACTACATTTCCCCTCTGGTTATAATCCGTTAAAACACTATTTCAGCCTGTGTTCAGAAAGATAAAATCAAAGCATCACATAGGGAGAAGTTTTGCAATCATTTTCTATCACCTCTATCATATCATGTATCATATCTTCTTCGTAAATCTCTATATAACATGCCACAGCTAAAAATATGAACAGTAAGTCTTTGATTTCTTCAACTACCCAGCGTTCCAGTTTCCTCATTGTGTCATAGGGAGTTTATTGATTTGAATCGGAATCCAATAGGTTGCTAATGTCTCTTACATCTCTTTAAACCCCGGCCTCTTGTTTTTCCCCCTTGCATCTTACTTGTCAAAGAAATTGGGTCCTTTTTCCTATACAGTTTCCACAGCCTGGACTTTGCAGTGGCATACACATGGCGTTAGTTAGAATTTTTCTCCATCCTATACACTTCCTGTAAACTAGCAGCTACATCCAGAGGCCTCACCAGATTTGGGGCTGATGTTTTGACAAAATTATTTAATAACCTCCACCAAGCTACTTTTTTTTTTGAATTAAAAACGTTTAGAGCTTTTCTTTTCTTTTTTTGAGTTCCCATTTAAAAATAAATGCTTTGTTACTTTCCTACCCAGACTATATTAATTAAATTCTACAGAAATAGTCCTAAAGTCTTCTTCTAGATTAAGGGTCAGGAAACTTTTTCTTAGAGAACCAGATAGTAAATATTTCAGGTTTATGAGTCATATGGTCTCTGTTGCAACTTCCCTGTTGCACGGGCTCAATTCTGCCACTATAGCATGAAAGCAGCCATAAATAATACATACATAAATGAGCATAGCTGCCCTCCACCCACTTGTAAATTTTATTAATAAAACAGGTAGCTGCTGACCCTTCGCAGTTTGCTGACCCCTGTTTTAAATGATCAGAAGTTTGACTTACAAACTATATGTATCTCTAGCAAATATGAAATGTGACCACTGTGGGTTGGGGGGGGGCGGTTTTCACTCAGGCACAAAAGTAAAAACCCACAGAGTCACCACATTTACCTAAATATGGATTGTGATTAAGTCAGCAACTGGCTGGCTGATAGAGGGCTTGTGAGGAGAATTCAACTCAACAAATGCTCATGGAACAAAGGACTCTCCGGGCATCACAAGGGATCCTAGTTGAATAAAAGACACATCCCTGCCCTCAAAGCCCAGCAGGAAAATAAAATATAAGGAGAAGATAAGTGGAATATAGAAATACTGAGACACAAGGGAAGCTGCAGTAAGTATCACGAAAGACAACACATGACATCCATGTTAAAGGAGAAGTAACATCAGCAGGAGCTGGACACCTCCACGGAGCAGGAAGCACTACGTGAACATAAAGACCAGCTGTCCTCATGCTGCACATCAGGGACTTTCGGCACAAGCTGGCCTTGTACAAGGTCTATTCTCTACTCCCCCTCCTTGTTCACCCTCCCAAGGTCAGACACATTCTCTGAAACAGCTGCAGGACAAAGGAGACGAGAAGAAGAGTTATAAGGGATAGTCTCACTCACCTTCTTGCTTTTCCAAGCTGTCTTTTCCTGCACAGCAGACCAGGTGATCATCAGCTGGAGAAAAAACTTCGGAAAAACTGAACTCATCCTCTCCCGTCCACCACCCTTGACTCTGAGCGTACGTCCTGAGTTCAGGGTGCTGCGCGTCCACCTTAGTGGTGAGTGACAGCTGACTGCAAACGCTCTTTGCTCCCTCTGCAAACAGCACAAAGCCCAGTTAGTTGAAACGTAAAGACGTAATCAAGAAATGGAAATCTACAGGGAATCCTTCCCCTGAAGCTTTGACTGTAACTACAGGGAGGAATGGATTCAATTGTTGAAGAGAGAAACAGCCGATCCTCGGTCCTCTTTCTAGGAGACCTCCTAGACTGTCTGACCAGTCTTCACAAGGCATTATCCCATTTTAAATGAGCAACAGTCACTTCACTGATCTTAAATTTGCAATCAAAACAAATATGTGAGGCCCTTCATTTTGACTAAATAAACCCCAAGCATTCATTACTTACAAGAAAAGTGAAAGGTTCTTTGAAAGAGGTTCTGAGCTAACAAGACTTAGAAATCTATGAGGTTGCTCTACGGGGATGCAGTTCATCCACAGACATGCTCTAAAGCACCTACTGCGATTCCTCCTCCCCAGTCTGATTCTTTTTCACCTGGGAAAACACTTCACATCATCACCCCCTGTCCAAACATATATGGTTTTTAAAAAACGCAAATCGGATACTTTCAGTCTCAACACTTAGAAGAACACTGTGGCAATGACAATGAATCATTTTAAAATAACAGAATGTACTCACAAATACTGTGTGTGTGTTTGTGTGTGTGTGTGTGTGTGTGTGTGTGTGTGAGAGAGAGAGAGAGAGANATGTGACTGTGCCTCAGACAAACCTTGAAGGATCTGGGGTCCCGGTGAAGTAGTGAATGCACGGTGAGCTTCTATTCTGAGGCAGGACAGACACCATACTGGCTGTGGTGAGGAAAGATTCAGAGTCTATACAGACTCCACTGTCTTTGTCCCGTAAGATGTTAATCATAGTCTGCACAGTGATGCTTTCTGTTAAAAAAAAAAAAGAGAGAGAGAGAGAGAGAGAGAGAGTGCGAGATGGAAAGAAGAGATACAACTGTAGCAGGCTAGTAACCAAAATCCACTCACTCTTTTCTCTTTTTAGAAATAAAACCCCTGAAACTATAGCTGGGAACATAACTACCCAACTACAGAATGTATTTCCCAGCTTCCCTGTGACTAGGTGCAGCCACGTGATGAACAACTCTGAGCAGTGGGAGGTGACAGAAATGATAAGCGCCACTGCCTCGTCACACCCACGGAAAGGAACGCTTGCCCTTCACTTCTCTTTTCTCTCTTCCCACTGGCTGCAAGATGCCAACAAGTGGACCACAAATGGAAGTCACGTAACCTGCCAGCCCCAGACCGATCTGGACTATAAAATAGGAGAGAAATAAACTTCATTTTAATCCACGTTAATTTGGGGTCTCTTTGTTAGAGCGCTTAGCTACACCTCCACCAGGGCGGTAACTCTATAGAATGATATCCACGTGCAATCTATGCACAGCCCACCAAGCTCTCTCTCATACACTCTTGCTGGTTGGAGTCAATATTATATTTGGAGAGTAACCTCTCCACAGTGGGAAATATACACACATAGAGGCATTTAGAATGTTCAGAATGATTAGGACTATGGGCTCTGACTTCAGATAAATAGATATACAAATTCTTGCCTACAGGGAATCCCATTACTACATTTCCCCTCTGGTTATAATCCGTTAAAACACTATTTCAGCCTGTGTTCAGAAAGATAAAATCAAAGCATCACATAGGGAGAAGTTTTGCAATCATTTTCTATCACCTCTATCATATCATGTATCATATCTTCTTCGTAAATCTCTATATAACATGCCACAGCTAAAAATATGAACAGTAAGTCTTTGATTTCTTCAACTACCCAGCGTTCCAGTTTCCTCATTGTGTCATAGGGAGTTTATTGATTTGAATCGGAATCCAATAGGTTGCTAATGTCTCTTACATCTCTTTAAACCCCGGCCTCTTGTTTTTCCCCCTTGCATCTTACTTGTCAAAGAAATTGGGTCCTTTTTCCTATACAGTTTCCACAGCCTGGACTTTGCAGTGGCATACACATGGCGTTAGTTAGAATTTTTCTCCATCCTATACACTTCCTGTAAACTAGCAGCTACATCCAGAGGCCTCACCAGATTTGGGGCTGATGTTTTGACAAAATTATTTAATAACCTCCACCAAGCTACTTTTTTTTTTGAATTAAAAACGTTTAGAGCTTTTCTTTTCTTTTTTTGAGTTCCCATTTAAAAATAAATGCTTTGTTACTTTCCTACCCAGACTATATTAATTAAATTCTACAGAAATAGTCCTAAAGTCTTCTTCTAGATTAAGGGTCAGGAAACTTTTTCTTAGAGAACCAGATAGTAAATATTTCAGGTTTATGAGTCATATGGTCTCTGTTGCAACTTCCCTGTTGCACGGGCTCAATTCTGCCACTATAGCATGAAAGCAGCCATAAATAATACATACATAAATGAGCATAGCTGCCCTCCACCCACTTGTAAATTTTATTAATAAAACAGGTAGCTGCTGACCCTTCGCAGTTTGCTGACCCCTGTTTTAAATGATCAGAAGTTTGACTTACAAACTATATGTATCTCTAGCAAATATGAAATGTGACCACTGTGGGTTGGGGGGGGGCGGTTTTCACTCAGGCACAAAAGTAAAAACCCACAGAGTCACCACATTTACCTAAATATGGATTGTGATTAAGTCAGCAACTGGCTGGCTGATAGAGGGCTTGTGAGGAGAATTCAACTCAACAAATGCTCATGGAACAAAGGACTCTCCGGGCATCACAAGGGATCCTAGTTGAATAAAAGACACATCCCTGCCCTCAAAGCCCAGCAGGAAAATAAAATATAAGGAGAAGATAAGTGGAATATAGAAATACTGAGACACAAGGGAAGCTGCAGTAAGTATCACGAAAGACAACACATGACATCCATGTTAAAGGAGAAGTAACATCAGCAGGAGCTGGACACCTCCACGGAGCAGGAAGCACTACGTGAACATAAAGACCAGCTGTCCTCATGCTGCACATCAGGGACTTTCGGCACAAGCTGGCCTTGTACAAGGTCTATTCTCTACTCCCCCTCCTTGTTCACCCTCCCAAGGTCAGACACATTCTCTGAAACAGCTGCAGGACAAAGGAGACGAGAAGAAGAGTTATAAGGGATAGTCTCACTCACCTTCTTGCTTTTCCAAGCTGTCTTTTCCTGCACAGCAGACCAGGTGATCATCAGCTGGAGAAAAAACTTCGGAAAAACTGAACTCATCCTCTCCCGTCCACCACCCTTGACTCTGAGCGTACGTCCTGAGTTCAGGGTGCTGCGCGTCCACCTTAGTGGTGAGTGACAGCTGACTGCAAACGCTCTTTGCTCCCTCTGCAAACAGCACAAAGCCCAGTTAGTTGAAACGTAAAGACGTAATCAAGAAATGGAAATCTACAGGGAATCCTTCCCCTGAAGCTTTGACTGTAACTACAGGGAGGAATGGATTCAATTGTTGAAGAGAGAAACAGCCGATCCTCGGTCCTCTTTCTAGGAGACCTCCTAGACTGTCTGACCAGTCTTCACAAGGCATTATCCCATTTTAAATGAGCAACAGTCACTTCACTGATCTTAAATTTGCAATCAAAACAAATATGTGAGGCCCTTCATTTTGACTAAATAAACCCCAAGCATTCATTACTTACAAGAAAAGTGAAAGGTTCTTTGAAAGAGGTTCTGAGCTAACAAGACTTAGAAATCTATGAGGTTGCTCTACGGGGATGCAGTTCATCCACAGACATGCTCTAAAGCACCTACTGCGATTCCTCCTCCCCAGTCTGATTCTTTTTCACCTGGGAAAACACTTCACATCATCACCCCCTGTCCAAACATATATGGTTTTTAAAAAACGCAAATCGGATACTTTCAGTCTCAACACTTAGAAGAACACTGTGGCAATGACAATGAATCATTTTAAAATAACAGAATGTACTCACAAATACTGTGTGTGTGTTTGTGTGTGTGTGTGTGTGTGTGTGTGTGTGTGAGAGAGAGAGAGAGAGAGAGAGAGAGAGAAAGAGAATGAATTAGAGGGAGAAATCTTTGGAAATTATTTTTTCATAAAATAGAAGTGCAGCTGAATAAATCTAGAGTCAGAAATGTGTACATTCTGAGTACATTCCACCTTGATAAGTGGGGTGTAGGCCAGAAATTCTCCTATCAGCCGGCAGGCTTGCTGTGCCTTCTCCAGAGCCTGAGCGGCAGATCCACAGCAGATGACTCAGCTTTCAAGCTTCCAGATGCTTGAAGCTTCCCAATGTTTGTCCAGAGTACAAACACTAACAAGTTATTAGTGTTAGCTCAGAAGGGCCATTCATGTTTACTGCTTCCACGTTTGATTTTCCAAATTCTTGGAGAATGAAGTTGAGAGAGAGAGCCTAAACTACTAGCTGCAATAAAGCCATTATTGCCTGAAAACCAGTTCCTAGAGGCAGGATCAGTGCTGGACTGAGTTTTTCCAGTATGCTTTGCTTCACTGATCTACACTTCCAAAATAAGCATTCCTGGCTGATGGGCATTGGTCCTTTGCCATTCATATTTTCAGAGGGCACCATAAAAGTAAAATTATAAGCAATTTAAAAATGAAAACCAGATTTTGACATCATTCATAACTAAGCTATTAAAAAAAAAAAAAAAACTTCTTGTGAACAACTCCACAGACTTTATTTGATTTATAGTAGACATTTGCTTTTAAGAACTTATCATTTGGGGGGAGAGTGCATTAAATCCTCCTGCAATCAATCACACTGCTGCTGGGATCAGAGGATATGAAATCAATGAATCCAAGAAATGGCTGAGTTTTGAAAAATATAAATACTTAGTGAAAGACAACATGCACTTCGTGGAGATGGAGTTTTAAAGCTATATTTTGAAGGGAAGCTCAGCTTTTGAAACACTGGTATAGATCAAAAAGTTTTAGGTTCTACTTAAAAGAAATGTGACTGCTTTTAAGAATGGACTGCTAGCCTCCTTGATGGAAGCTTTCAATATTAAAACTTCAGCTTAGGAAGGGTTTTTAAAAAGGAGTTCTAAGTCCCTGCATCACAGAAGAGCTGGAGACCTGGTGGGCCACACTGGCTGCCTTAGTTCTGTAACTACTGCAAGAGCTGGACAAGCAGGCATGTGTCCTGGTGGTACATGCTGGGCACATGAGGGCGGAGAAACTGTGATTGCTTATGGGCACAGCCAGCCCATTCTGCACCCTTGTGAGAATGACATCCTCTCCACCAGGCCAACCCAGACTTTGCACAGCTTGGCCAGGAAACAACAGTCTAGATTTCACTGCCTCAGTGGGCCAACTTTGTATAGGGTACACATACCATCGTCCACAAAAGTCCTGATCACTGGACTAACATTGTGCACAGAAACAACAGGCTCAATTCCCAACTTCTGCAGTAGATCTTCTGCTTCTAACTCAGGTCAGATTTGGTTCCAATCACCCCTAAGGTAGGGATGGCTAACAGGTTTGATCCCTAACATCATTTCTTTTTTTTTTTTCCTTTTTGTCTTTTTTACTGACCGGTAACAGGATCGCAACCCTCGGTGTCGCGCCCGCACCAGGGACCGGCAACGGGATCGCAACCCTCGGTGCCGCGCCCGCACCGCGCTCAGCCAGCGAGCGGGAACCGGTCTCCACATGGGATCTGAACCCTTGGCGGGAGCGCCGCCATGCTCCCAAGCGGCGCACTCTCCAGTGCGCCACCGGGCCGGCCCGCTAACATCATTTCTGATTAACTGGAAGAGACTTCCTGGTAAATTGGGTTGAGAAAAATACACTGGCCAAGTATAGGTTCAACAAGAGAAGAGTGCTGTGATCTACCAGCCATGTCCACCGTGGGCACAGGAAGGGAGAACGGACATGCTCAGGAGGTGTATTTATCATCCAGACCTCAGGAATGTAAGGGGAGCTTTGCTGGCCAATTCTCTCTTAGAGCTACTTAGTCCTCTTAGAAGCCCTTTAACCCACCCTGGGCCCCCATGGCGTCCAGAATGTGAGGGTGCAGAGGTGAGGATACGAGACCCTAACATTTCCTTCCCCAGCACTGCCTTAGAAGCAAGACGCTGCAGGACCCACAGAGCAGCCGTTTTATGGGCACTAAATCCTTCCAGGTGGAGCCTCTAGTCTTCTGCTTCTCTAAGAACACTGTCTCACAGAGAAATGGCCTTGTTGACCCAGAGTGGCATTCAGTGGTCCTCACACAGATCCAGACTCCTATTTTGGAGAAATATCCCAAGCACACGGAGCTACAGGGTTGGAGGCGACAAGGGGCAGCTCCCAGTTGAAGGGATTTGTTGACCTGCTATGAACAAAGAATCAACACTCCCTTGGCCAATCAACAAAGTAACAGTTTGAGACATAGAACTGCTGCTGGTAGTCAAAACTGGGTCCTGTCCAGAAAGCAAACAGAGAATATGAAATGTTCAGAGTGTGCTTCCAGGTGTGGCCATCTCCTCACCCCAGGTTCAGACACTCCAGTTTCTACTCTGGAGTGAGATGCCAGAACTGAGAGGCATGCCTCAGCAGGAAGGTCCAGCACAGGGAGGGTCTGCAACCGCAGCACAAGTCCTCTGGGCCTGACGCCATTCATCCAGGCAACGTCCACCTCAGCCTTTCCTGTCCTCAAGCCTCCTCACCGCCCACACCCACTCACCTGTGATTTTCTCAGCAGCCCAGTATTTCCCCACGGTCTCCAGCACCCAGGCTTCTTCGCGATCCACAATCAGATACGCACTTTGGAAGCTATGGCAGGCGTCTGCATCTTCATAATAATTCCCACCTTGTCCATGTTCTTCCAACAAGAAGACGATGACATCTAAGGCTTCTTTAGCTGTTGTCCCTCTTTCTAAACCAAGTCTGCAGGAAAGAAACCAGAAGTATACATCAGTCATTTCGTATCATGTAATTATTACCATAGTGATCAAAGACTGGGTCAAGGCTGTTATGAAGCATGCCAACATGTGTAAACATGTTAAATATGGAGACTAATATGCAAACCAATCAATGGCACTTAAACTCAGAATACATATCTCACATATTCAGTTAAAAATCACGGGGGTGTTTTGTCTTTGGACCCTCCCCTACTACACAGAAGAATCAGGAGCCCAGTGGCGTCTCCCTCTTGAAAGGAAGTTCAGCCTCTTCTTCCCTTTCCTGCCTCTGTCTCTATAGACCTAACCAGCTCGGCTCTGGCCGTTAGTGAGACCCCTTTTCTCTGGCTAGTGCTCCCTCCTGACTCTAGCCTGGGAAAAAGAAAATCTCTGCGCAGTCCAGCTTGATCTCTATTACTCTCCACTAGGCATTTTGGTTACTGCTATGTCCTGAATGTTTGTGTCCCCTGAAAATTCATATGTTGAAGCCTAATTCCCAATGTGATGGTATTAAGAGATGGGGCCTTCAGGAGGAGGCTAGATCATGAGGGCTCTACCCTCTTGAGTGCAATTAGTGTCCTTATAAAAGAGGCCCAGAGAGCTCCCTCATCCCTTTCCACCATGTGAGGACACAGCAAGAAAGTACCATCTATGAACTAGGAAACAGGCCTTCACCAGACACTGAATCTACTGGCATCTTGATCTTGGACTTCCCAGCCTCCCAACTGTAAGAAATAAATTTCTGTTGTTTATAAGCCACCCAGTCTATGGTATTTTCTTAACAGCCCAAACGGACTAAGACAATTAGTAAGTCAATTGCCAGTCACTGTGCTCTGTGCTTATAATTTGCTCAGAGATTTCATAAGGCATCTCTGGTTAGGGTGGCTGGTTAGGACATAGCTGATCCTTTTTCTACATGTTTCTCCCCCTACCTGTCAGCCTACATCTACTGGTGTGGCTTACAACCTCAGTTATCAAAAGAACATACATTCCTTCTGAAGTGAGACATCCATCTCCCCCTGGCTTTTCCCTTAACAGACTTTTTAAAGAGGGCACAGATATTGTCCTCTGTGTGACCTTGGGCGGGTTACATAATATATTTGAACTTCAGTTTGTCATCTATAAATTGAGTACCTATGTCATTGGGTTGCTGTTAGGATGAGTTCTGTGAGATAATTAATGTGACAATACATAGTGCTAGTGCCTAGGACCAAGTTAGTAATGAGTACACTTCCAGAGGCAAAACGCTCTGGAAGAGACACAGATGATTCAGAGATAAAGGGACCTAGCTTCTAGTTCTGGCTCTGCTGCTGGCTGGCAGTATGATCTTAAGTCATGTGGCCCTTCCAAACCTTGATTTTCTCATCTGTAAAGTGAAACAATACTCTCTCTCAGGCTGCTATGAAAGAGGGTCGCATATGATATGTACTCAGTAAATGTCCACTTATTTATCTGTTCACTCAAATTATAATTCCAGTGACAGGAACCAGAGTCTCACTCAGAACAGAGGCGATAGCTACCAAGATAATGAATCTTCACTTGACAAATAATAACCATTAAAATTCACCCAATTTGATGCTTCCTAAAGGGATATTTCACTGTGCTGCCAGGGAGAAGAAAAGATAATACAACTATATGCTGAGGACTTATTCTTATTACAGGCTTATTTTCACAGTCAGATAATTATATATCAATTCATTTGACAGTTCCCATTTTAAGCTTATTTAGGAAGACTTGGTTACAAGGCAGTAATTTACAAAGCTGAACGCCAAGTCCTTAGGAAAGTGATAAAAGAATAAACCCATTAGAAGACTGAATTAAGTAGACTCTTCTGCGGGTTGGTGTCATCTTCTCCAAAGAGGAGTCGCAGAAGCAAGCACTCACCTTATCTCGAGGATCTGGAGTAAGCAAGTGTGACGTGAGGGCCTCTCATGACCCGAGCTGTGTACCCTGGAGCACTTCCTTCCTCCTTTCTATGGGCCCATGGTGGCCCTAGTCACAATGCCTCATACACACTCTCCAGGCAGAACTCTGATCCCAGGGCCTTTGCAGGGCCCCAACTTGCCCACACCAACATGTACTAGGAACATGTGAATACATAGCCAGGTGCAATAGCCCATCTTTGGAGGTTGTGACTTCTCTTTTGCAGTTTCTAACACTCTCCTGAGGTTCTACCAGCTTGTGTTCCACACCGAGACCCCCAAAACTTACACTGGGCCTCCCACGCTGACCTTGACATGTTACGTGCAGTCTGCAGCAGGACCACAGCACTCATCCACAGATACAATTATGATTTCACGCTCCTACCTCTCTGCCAAGGCCATGGGTCCCACTTGCCCATTCCCACCTGGTCTTGCTGCCATGGGATGAGGACAGGACCACCTGCTCCACAGTACAAGGATGTAATTAATACTGGAATTGCACACTCTCCACTTAAGAAGATACAGACGAATCCCATGGCACTGGGTGCAGAGGAGATGCCAGAGAGACCATGCCTGCTGTGACCTGGGGCCACAAGTCACACAACATCCAGAGGCCTATTTTAAAGCCATTCACAACTGTCTCACCTTCTAGATGGGGCGGATTCATGAGACTCTTTGCAAGAACAGCACTGTTCTGGCCCCTTGCCTAATTTCACTTTGGCTGCTACATCTCAGCACGGGCAGGACCAGGACAGGGAAAGGGATAAAATTAAACGGGCCAAGGTTAGAGTCTCACTCTGATATCTAGCTTCAGTGCAATTCAAACCCTTCCAAAGTGGTGCTTTGTCCATGTTGTTCTGGGTCTCGGAGTTAGATGCTGCTGAATTTAATTCCTCATTTTATGGGAAAATCTTTATTGGGGGCCCAAGACCATCTCACAGGTATGTCAAGTTCACTCTGCTCATTCCTGAAAGGTTAACACATCTCACTGACGAAGATAACATCTTCACTTCTGCTTACAGCCCCTTTGTTTAGGAACTCTGCTTATCTTTTTGATATCTATGCCTCCGTGGATTAGGGGGACCCCTCTCCCTCTGTATCCCAAATAAGGTAAAATGAAGTTATAACTAGATTTAGTGTGGACATATAATAACTGCCCTAGGGAAACAAAAATAACCAATGCTTCTCTCTTTAGAAGTATGGGCCCATTGTTCTTATAGGACTCAGCTGCAAATAATCGTCCCTCCTTCCCACAATCAATGAGTCTACAATGCCTCTCCAGCTTCGTGACCTTTTAGACATCAAAGATTCCCATTAAGGTAATGCTATGCTGTTTGTGTCCCCCCAAAATTCATATGTTGAAGCCTTGTAAATTCTTATGTTGAAGTATTCTAAATACACTAATGTATTTAGAGATGGGGCCTTTAAGAGGTGATTAGGTCAGGAGGGTGGAATGTAAAAATGAAAAATGCTCAGGCTCCCTCAGCTGTTCAGAATCTTGCCAGGCATGACCTAGTCTCTTTGATGTAAACATGCTAACTGCACATGTGTGCCCAGGTGTTCTTTGGCTATTGTCTGAGGTAATTGTGCATG